TGCAGGACGCCGGCATCCACCTGGAACGTTGCATCGTGCACCGGCGATCGGTGTCGTACAGAGAGTCAAGATTTACTCGATGGAAATTCGCACTCTTAACCGAGGAAATCACGGCGCCCCTGTCCAGACTGGGATCGTGCTGCGATCGTTTGATTTTCAAAGATTTCGCAGCCGTCGTGGTAAACAAGTGGGCGGTGCCCCTCTTCGAATTCCGCGTTCCCCTCGGCGTCTTTACCAGGGGACACGATGACGCCGACATCGTGGACTTGTTGGAGAAGCATCTGCGTTGTCGGGGGCTGCTGGTGGATGTGCAACACATTGCCCACTGCATGGCCAAACTGATTGACAGCGAAAAGAAGGCCCGGCAAGTGAAGAAGGTAATTAATACTCTGTAATAACACTCCGTCGTATACCTCTTTAAAACTCGCGATGGGAATTTGCCTGGTGGTTGATTTCCGGCACAGTAATATTCTTAACCTGGCTTTCGATTCCACAGATTTTGCGGGTGTACCAAGCCAGCGATCCGCGTCCATGGGCGCATTACCGTGGATATCGGTGGTCGCTGTACAATATGGCCAGTGTAGACGTCAGCAAGCTGAACAAATTCTCCCTGTGCGCCTTGTCGCACTGCATGCGAGACTGGGGTTACGCGTTCGAAGATGACCATGAGTCTGAGCAATCCACCGACGACGACTCCGAGGACGAGGAGGAAGAAGACTACGACGACGAAGAAGAAGAAGACGAAGAGGAAGACGAGGTTGAGTAAAATGAATTCAAATTTCCGAAGGCTGTTATTTTGTATCTACACAGTGTTAATCTCGTATGAGGAAGTTAATTTTGTACTTAATTCTGATCAAAAACGGTATTTTATTTGTTTTTTTGGTTTTAGTGAAACTGAACTGTAGTGCCACTACCGTAGCAAGAGCGAAAAGAGACATAGCCGGCCGCAATGGAAATGGCCGAAGTGATCGGTAGCCGACGACCCTATAAAACTCGGTAGATGACACCCTTTCACGCGGGCACCGAATCCTCGTTACCGTTAGTGCTTCCTGTGGTCATCTTATTTCTGCACGGTGTGTTTCAACAATCGATAAAACTAGGGATTCGCTACAAAAGTGCTGTACGTTTGATTGTTACAGATACACGCTGCAACATTGGCGCTAGACCGTCCAGTTTCATTCCTTCCCCACGTAGCACCCTCCACATCCACGTAACCACGCGTCACGCGTGTTGTTGCCGCACGTCACGGGGTCCGGTTATGTGCAACCACTTAATTCTCTCAAATACTTTCGCATGCAAACAAATAACTGATATTAGATGGTACGAGTAAGGCGGATGTCCAGAAATGTTCTTAGTGGCAGCTTGGTTGTTTTGACTTTTGCACGTCCACGGGTTTTTAAGCCGATAACCTAATTGTTTTACTTTGCTGAAAAAACAGAAAAATATTGGCGGAATTCTTTCATGGATGATGCGAACATGGAGCAGAAATACGAGCTGTTCCCGCAGAGGATGAAACGATTAAGGATGACAGGGAATCCAAGCCGATGCCGTTTCGCGGCTCCGACGACTAAGTCTGGCAGATTCCGCTGATCGGGCATGCCACTTTGTTACTGTTGTAGAATCGTACGCTATTTAATAATCTGGCTAGTATCACAGCAGAACGCAACTGAGTAGAAAAGAAAGATTCGAAGAAACAGAAAGTTGCTAGAGGGATACAGAATTTGGTAAAAATTACCAAGAATTATGAGAAACAATTGCCAAGTTGAAGGAGCTCCACCTCGTCAAAGTCAAGGAAATCAAATACAGAAGGGAAAGAATGTGCAGATCTTGGAATTTGGCGCGTACGCGTCACTTGTTTGCCACGCGTAGGTGTTGCAAACGAATAAAGTTGTCCCCACTCAACCATTCGGAGTAATTGCTTGCTGGTTTGGCGCCCATTGCGGAATGGCGCAAAGCCAAAGCTGCAGTGAAGACGAAACAGATAATCCTTGACGTTTGCGCTGAAGGTTAACGCCCTCCTGATTTCACATCCCAGTGACAACATGCGCAGAGCCGGTAACTGAGAGAAAGCATCAGTCACGAATCTCGATAGTACGCAATGTTGAATTCCGAAGAGAAACCAACCAGCGTCAGCGTGCTTCTCACCCACCGGGACTCGTTTTCACCGGTCATCCGAAAGTCAGTTTCCCAGAGAAGATCGCTGCGTAAAAGAACAGCGTAACAACAAATCCGGGTCAGGAGCAAAAGCTGCCAAGGCAATTCCGTTGCACCAGATGGTTGCTGTTAGTTGACACAGCGCGACAAGGACACAAGAGAATCCAGTTAAGTTGGTAGCGGTAATGCGATAGAGGTCATTCAGTGTGCGATAAGCTTAAATCAAAAGCGTTCAGTAGAAGCAGCAAATTACCGTCAGTTGCTACAAGTACCTCCATTGTAAACGTCTCTCTGCGCGAATCTATCGTTGGTTATTTGATCGATCAAGTTCTCTGTGCAGCCTGTTTATCTTAATCCACGCTATTAAGCAACCTACTGTCGTTAATCACTTTATCACACAGCTCATTATCCGCCGCCTCGAAACAGACAGTTAAGATGTTCTTTTACGAAGATACCGGACGATCGCTGTACGCATGGAACGCGGTGGATGTGCAGATTGACGGTGGGCTGCAGCACGGCCACGTGGTCGGCCTGGACGAGACCGAGAGCGCTTCACCCCGTCTGCTGGTGGATTTCGGATGGCCGACAGAACAGCCGGTGCCGGTGGAATACGGGAAGATCTGGGACTGCTCCAGCCATCGCCCCGGCAACCTTAGCGCGGGAGCTGCAGTGGAAGTGCTGCTGTGCGACGGCCCATACTGGACATGGTATCCCGGCAAAATTATGATTGCGCGCTTTGACGAGCTGTACGAGATAGCGCTGGTGGAGGTGACGGTGGACGGGGAGCGGCTTCGCGAACTGCTGCCCACCAATCAGATTCGCGACGCCGGGGGACAAACAGCCAGGTCGGGACTCCTCGAGGCGGGCCATTTCGTCGTGCAGGCTGTTAACTTGCCCAACGGTTTCTGGTGTATGGAGCCCTCCGACCCGGTATATGTGCGCGAACAAGTCGAGAGGCGACGCAACCTGTTATTTGTCGCGGATTTCGGTCAGACGGTGCACTATTTGCGGAGGCAGGGGGATGTGCTTTTAAGCGGCCAGGTTCTGGTAAGTCATCATCGTTATTTCTGTACAGCATTCACTATTTGGCGTACTTATTGAGGTCCTACTTTTGTTCTTGTACCATAGGAGACCATCTTTGAGAGCGAGAGGGACAAGCAGTGTTTTGCGCGGGGAATTGAATTTTTTACTGAAAACGAAGAGCTGGATTTTGAGCGGAATCGTGAGTTGTCGTTAAGCCCGTTTAAAGGCAGAGAAGAAGACGATTCTTGGCTGCCGTTGGAAGTTCTGAAGGAGATCTTCCACTCACTGGACACCATCGACCGCGTGCGCTGTCGCCCCACCTGCCCTCTATGGGCAGATATTCTCACTGCGCCGGACATGTGCTGCGAGGTGATTTTGTCGCGGCCGCAGTACAGCTTCTGGGATAACTACCTCCTGCACGCTGGCCTCGCCAAACACGTCACACCCGCCACACGCACCATCTGCATTCGCGAAAGCGGCATGTATACCAATGCAGTTTTCGATGCTCTGCAGCATCTCTTGCAGGACGCCGGCATCCGCCTGGACCGCTGCATCGTGCACCGGCGATCGCTGACGTACAGCGAGTCAACATTTACGCGATGGAAACTGGCCTTCTTTGCCGACAAAATCACGGAGCCTCGGTTCAGGCTGCAGTCGTGCTGCGCTCGTGTGATTTTCAAGGATTTTGTTGTCGTCGTGCTGAACAAGCGGGCGGTGCTAGGCAAGTGGGAGCTCTTCGAGTGTCGCGTTCCCCTGATGGTCTTCACTCGGGGGCACGGCGATGAGGCGGATATTGTGGACTTGTTGGAGAAGCATCTGCACTGCGAGGGACCCCCGGTGGATATGCAGCGGATTGCGCGCTGTCTGGCCGATCGGATTGACAGCGAAGAAAAGGCCCGGGCAGTGAAGAAGGTAAGGTTATGGCATCGTCTAACAATTCTGCAACTCCCCTTCGCTGTTTACCTGGTTGTTTGCTTGGTGGTGTCTAGTCTGGAGCGTGAGTGTCGTTAACCCGGCTGAGCGATTGCAGATATTACGGGTGTACCAAGCCAGTGATCCGCGCCCGTCGGGACACTATCGGGGGCGCCGTTGGTCCTTGTACAATCTGGCCAGTGTGGACGTTGGCAAGCTGAATAAATTCTGCCTGGCAGCCTTAGCGCACTGCGTGAAGGACTGGGGTCCGGGAACGCATCCCAAAATGATGATGAGCACATTGAGCAATCCAGTGACTCCGAATCGAAGACGAGGAGGAGGACGATGAACACGATAACGAAGTGGCAGACTGGATTTAGCCAACAACTGACAATTTTCGAAGGCGATTAATTTGTGAAGTGTTAAAATCTGGCATCCACGCACGCTATCTTATCGGTGATGTTTCAAAATGATTAAACTGTTTTGCTACGAGAGTATAATTTACGCTGCCACATTGCCGGTATACTGTCCGGTGTATTTCCTTCGCCGCGTAACATCCTCCGTATCAGTTCCCAGCTGCACCGTCTCCATGTCCTAACGCGGAACGTTTGTTGTTTCCTCGAATCACGGTGTCCGGCTATGTACCACCACTTACATAAGAAGTACTCAAAAACTACTTTCGCGTGCGATATCGTTAGCATTAATTTGCTACGACTGACGAGTATGCCGGATTTCCTGAATTATTTTTAGTGAATGGTTGTGACCTTTGCACATGCATGAATGTTTTTAATTGACCACATAAGTGTTTTACCTTTCTGGAAAAACTCAATTTTGTTTTAATTTTCTGACGGATAAAGTAAATGGACCGTTAAAGAAAACCATGCCCAGAAATAATATTGGGTTTAGTTTTAGAACGTCACTTTTTAAGAAAAAACGAATCTTAATCGTACATACGTAATCATATTATTGCATAAATCCTTTTTGGGTCGACTGGACAATATTTCTTAACGCGCACAAGGAGCCGTAGATACAGCACTGATCTCTTGTTGCCTCACAATTCACAAGGCTATCCAAGGGTGATAACCATCCGGGCCTAAACCAAATGTCAGAAATCCGGTTACCATTAAAAAACTTAACAATTCTAAAGAGGTGTATTTTTTTCATAGGGCTAAGTGTGGGCTATTGGGCAGGCAGGAAGTGAGAAATGGGTACATAAGTAATATTATGTCAAAATTCCAGTTTTCACGTACCGCAGTTATCGCGATAGTTGGGCCACGTGGTGGCGTTGAATTCATAGGTCAAACCTCTGGAGGGGGTATTAACGTGCATCTCTACAAACAAGAATAATGCCGAGGAACACCGTTCCTTTACAGTTTACACTACACAGTTGTGTTTATCGGTCGCTTACTGCCGTCTTTGAGCAGACACCGAAAAGGTCTGCCAAAACTAAGGAACGTGTGTTGTCGAACTTGACGATGATGGGTAGCGCCAACGGCATCCGGTTCCCGGGTCAACCATGCATTCTTGGTCGGCTCTGATGATGGCGCAGATATCTGCAAGACAACAATTACGAAACCGTGCACATCAGTACCGAAACCAACCAGTAGAGTAATATGTTATCAGCTCAACCATACTGAACGTTTAGCGCTTTGTTATGGCCGGCGTGCATCATCTACAATCCCAGATCCTTTCTCCACACTTCTGCGTTAAATATGCAATATAGAAAAATTACAGTACATACCGTACGAGTAATGACCGGAATCCAGATTAGCAAGGTAATAGCGATCGTGTAGTACATGTTGGGGTCAAACGAGTGTTACAGCGAAAACTTTTCTAAATGATGAAAAGCAAATAAACTCCCGGAAGCAGGGAACTCGTTTGCATAGTCTAAGAGAAACGTATGTGAAATTTTGGCTAGAAAGCTGAGCGTGGTATTTTACTCAAAAGCTATTCAGAGTAGCATGTCTTTTGCGTTAAAGACATTCGCGGTAGCAATGCCTGACACGAGTCCATGACGCTGCCAAATCAGCATACATGTTTCCCAAGATATACTGTACATACTTGATTTTCTGGTACAACGCAGTCGGCAGTTGCGGCCGTTTTGAGTTACCACTTCAAAAAATACATGTATTTTCAAGTGCGCTAATGTAGTGGACATTTTGCTTTGGAAGTGAAAGAATGCTTCCAATTCCTTTAAAGAATGTGTTTTCTCCGAGTACGTACAGCCCGCACTGCGCTTATGTCACGTATCAAAGGAGTCCGTCCTTATTTTACAACGGCAGCATCGCTAATGAGGTGTGATGACGGCTCTATTGTGTCAATCTAAATCTAATAGATATGGACCGCTTCGTACACATTAAATTTTTCTAAACATGCCGTTTTACTTGTATCCGCAGTATCCCACCGTATCCCACGGTATTCTCGACGTATTCTTCATGTATCCTCGTAATTTGCTGACATCTTTTGGTCCACTACCGTATCTTTGCAGTATCCTTTATGTATTCTACATGTATCCCACTAAACGTCCTTCTAAAACATAAGAAAAACAAACGAAGACCTAAGAAAATATAAGAAAACCGAAGAATCTAAGAAAAGTAACGGGATACATGCAGGATAAACGAGGAATACTGTTGGGATACGGAAGGATACGTCAGTTAAAAGGACGCATGCACGTGTGCACTGATTCCAGAGTATCTGCTCCAGAGATGGGAGAGCAGCGGAAACAAAAGAGGCAACGAACAAGCCATCATTAGACTGTTCAATCCGCGGTTGCCGGTTGTTGAGATGCGAGTAGTAGCCGACTGTCGTCCCTGCTGTCTGAATCAGTCTGGTTGTTTGTTTATCCTTTAAAAGTTAAGCTAGTAGACAACCTGGTTAACGAAACTTGTCGAGCTTCTCTGACAATACAGTCTGGACTTATACAATGATATGATAGATATCAGACTTTATCGTGCATGGGCGAAGGCAGGTGCTTTTGATCGACATTAGCCAGGGCACATAACATGATAACAATACGCCAGCACAAATCTGCACTAAATAAAACGAAAAAGTTGTAAACATAAAACACAATCAAAATCGTTATTGTCCTTCGTAATCTTCAGACGTACGTTCAGTACAAGCATCTGCCCCCGCCGATCGGTCCAAAGTGGCGGTCGTAGACCAAGTGCAGCCCGACTGGAAAGCGTTGATGGACCGCCAGAATAAGCAGGAACAGAAGCTGCAACATCTAGTCGATTTTGTCTCACCGCTGGCAACTAAGAAACTCGGGGAATTTCCCCGGGGAAACCTTCACCCGCCTGCACCGCTGACGCAGAGCAAGAGATCGAATCTTTTGCGGAATGTACGCCACCGGGATGACAGAGCCTGCCTTGACCGCATTCACAATAAAAACAGGAGAATATTTCCTCCTCTCCGTGACACTATTAAATAGTTAGTGTTTCTCGAGTTTACTGTAACTACAACATGTTAGCATGAGTAAAGTACACATGTTTCCCCTTAGGCGCACATATTTTGCTTTGTTAGCTATCCCATTCCAAATGAAATCGTCCTTATCTACCTATGGCACGGTTAGCATTTGTACGCGTTAAATTTTTCTGGGCATGTGTTCTCACTCGTATGCACAGAATCCCAGTCCTCTATGTATTCTTCTAGTACCCGCCCGAATTATTCAATTTTTAATCACTGCCGTATCCCAAGGTACCTCTGTGGTATTTTTAATGCATCCCGAATGTATCCCACATGAAACAAAAGCGGAAAAAAAGATACTCAGCGAAACATACTGGAAAGATGTTTCGAAGGTCATCCAAAAGTCGGTTTCTCAGACAGAAAACCGCTGTCGACCTGTTGCACATCGCAGATTAAATCAAACTACACTCGTACAATATCTCTTTACCAAAAAGAAAACTTTCTTGCTTTGAAACCGGCCTATACGCGCGGAAAAAAGGGACGCGGAAAACCGATTATCACCGCATGGGAAGACGTAAGAATATCTATCTACTTGCCACAAAAACAAAATCATTAGTCATGTTAAAGAAAGGTTTATGAGTATATATTTACTAACTTTTAAAACGGCTTCTGCAGAGACTACGAGTTTACGACCACCGGCTACCGGTTCATACTCTCCATCGTAACGACAAAGCTAGTCCAGTTGTCTGATCCAACAATCTTTTGCTTCGGCATACCGTTGCTCACACCGCGCTATTAGTGGGATAAGTGGTGCTAGGAGATTCGCCGTGCTTGAAGAGTTCCTGCAGTTTGTTTTTTGTCCATTTGGCAAATCCTGAATTACTTTGCTTAGACGATGGAGTAAAAGCAAATTCCTGACGGAGTACGCTGTGCTCTTGGGCGTTTTTCGAATTCTCTACCGCACTGCGGATTTCCGCTCCTTTAATAGGCAACGCATACAGGGTCTGAACCATTTTCTCGATATCCTGCGGCGACATTTCGACTTTGCTACCTTTAGCCATTGCGTCATCCAGAATTTTGCGTTCAATCCGATACTTGGATAGCATCACTTCCAAGTTTTTCTTAACTGCGTCACTAGCACCTAAGGGGATTTTGTTCTGTTCTTCTAATATGGCATAGTTCAGGTAGTCTTCCATTGCGTCATTATATGGTACAATAGCGTTTTGTTTCAAAAAACTGCCAAAGTGTGATACAACTGACGTAATTGTTGACATCTCCTTGTTCAGGCCGTCCTTTCGTTTGGCAAGCTTGTCGAGAAACGCCGTGGCCGCATCAATATCTCCGTTTTTTTGCCGCAGTAGTTCCTGAGTACTTTTATCCACAATCTTATCGTGTGCCTCGTAGTAGTCCAACATGACGTGTACATGTTTGTCCCAACTGCAGCCGCAATGGGCGCACTCCTCCCCTTTGCTGGGCAGCATTGCAGAACATCTTTTCAGGTCGGGATTCGGATAGCGACCAGGTACCACGTTTTCAAGGTCACAGGCTTCATGGCACCATGTTTTGAAGTTGGTAACACCGTTGACCACGCTGATACACTTTGATGCCGTGCAGACCGTTCGGGGCCGCGGGAGCGGTTTTGATTTTACCGTCAAAACGGAAACGTACAATTTTCCTTCCAAGCTGCGTTTATCATTCAGACTTAATCTGATTTCGTTTTCCTTGTCTTCTGCCAGTCTAACATTGGCTAAAATACTTTCTGAAATTTTTGCCAGAGGTTCAGTGAATGCCAGAATAAGCCGACGGGCATTATTCAAAGAGTGCGTGTTGCGAAGGGCATGCGGCGGTCTGGAGAGGATGTGCTGGAACATTCTTTCCATTTCCTCTACGGTCTTTTCCCAGCTGGCTTCGTAGCATTTTTTATCGGTGTCGGTGAATGTCATTCCATGCTGAACACAGGCCATGTACCGTACCGCCTCGTTATCGACGCAGTATACTGTGGGTTTGGCGAGGACAATGCCATTCTGAGGAATTCCTCCAAGCAGTATCTCCAGCTGTGCATACGTATTTCCTGGCCTATAGAGTGTGGCACGGCTGTTGGTCAAGACAAAGAGAATGTTTTGGCAAGCATCTTTATGCAGATGTAGCAGAAGTCCTTTAATGCAGTACTGCAGCATCACTGTCAAGCGGGCTTCGTTGGGTTTTAACAGGATGCATATTCCATGCAGTTCGCTCAGATGAGATAAATACGACAGAACATTTTGGAAATTGGCTTTATCCATGCTGGCGCCGCGTGTATCGCCGATGCCCGGCGTATCAATTATGCGAACCAGAGAATCGCCTTTTCTAAAGATATAAGCTTTCGGAAACTGTGTAGCTGATTGTCCAACTATCGTCCACTCATTCGCTTCCGCTGCGGCTCCGAAAGTCGATTCTACTGTAATGGTGACCTTTTTGTAATTATCATCGGTAATTGTAAAAGAAGTCGGAATTAGGTAGACCGGGTTAGCCACAGCATCGTCCAGTTTCGTGTGTGTTAAGCAATTTGCAAAGGCATTAATCCATGTTGACTTTCCGGTTCCGGTTTCGCCTGAATAAAGATTATCCACTGCATTGCAGATACAGTACTTCACATATACAGGAGCAACAGCATTGACTCCATAGCGCATTCATCGCCCATGAGTTATGCTGAACACTAAGATACATTAGTGCTTCACTTACGTAATGGTCAACTGTAGATTGCTACGCTAATCATCATCATCTGCGCAACAGCTACCATCATCTGTTGACGGTTTAAGTCAGCCGCTAATAGACTTGGTGTTCAGCTCAGCTCGGTCAATGGTACCGAGTCAATGGAAATGCTCCTCCGCCTCCTCGTATACTCTTTACTGTATTTTATCATAATAATTCCAGTTATTTATCCTACTTGGTGTAAGTTAGTAACCTTCGGCATTTTTCATACGAGGACCATTGGGTGCTGTGAACACCCCCTGCACGATTGGGCTGCGATGAACAGCCGGCTAAATTCAAGCCGTTTGCATTTAGACTGTGATCACAGTAGCGTTGCGAGCTACGGCTGTTCATCGCAGCCCAATCGTGAAGGGGGTGTTCACAGCACCCAATTGTCCTCGTAATGGTAAGGAAGCACTTCGCTTTGCAGCTTGAGCTACTAGTAACGCTTTTGAGATTTTTTGCGAATGCCCGTCGTGTCTACATTATTTGAAACACCACTGACATTCTGTTAAATATTCTAACATTCTGTTAGTTATTCTGTTAATTATTCCCTTATTATTCTGTTATTATCTTTCTGTGCGCACAGTCTCACAGAATAATTATCGTAGCATCGTCGCGCAGCGCTAGAAGCCGCAGTTCTTAATGAACAGTTCCTGTGGGTTTGGTATTTCATCACATTCCGAACAGTTTAATTATTTCGCGCGGCAAAATGAAAAAAGCGGAACAAATTTCAAGTCTGAATCACAAGTATACGAGTAGACATTTTATTGTTTTTTTTCGTAGTGATCGGCAGTTTGCACGGAGTTGAGCATTATGGCAGTTATAATGTCGAGCAGTTTTCTTGATAAAATCAATATTAAGCAGTTAAACCTAAAATTTTGTAATGCAGTCCTATTGCGCAAATAAAGCGCTTACAGAAACGAAAAATTTGCGAATTCAGTGATTCCGTTTTCCATAGAGGTGTATATATAAACTGTGAGTACATAACCACCCCATATGGTAGTAGTACAGTAGACTAGGCTTAGTAAAAAATCGTGAATTTCCCATTACTTAAGAACTTTCAGCTGGTAAAATTTTCGTTCATTTCCTAACTTAAAATGTATCTCGTTGTTGAATTTTTTGCGCTGACTAACGGATTGCATGAACCTAGAGAAATTCAATGAAGTGCAAAAACTGCAGTGAATGCTTACTGACAAGCGCCCATTTTCCGGGTGTAAATGAAAAAAATCTCATCTTTTGTAAAGCGATATGTTTAAAAAAATTATTGCATCTGCCATGGTAAGTAAAGCGTAGCCAAATAAAAACTAAGGGGAGCCGTACGTAGCAGTGCATATTGCATAATATTACAGTCCAGTAATTAGCTTCTATGGCATTTTTGTTACTTATTTTGCGTGCATTGCGCTAGATGTGCCCATAAACCGCTTCACTTGTCCAGCACGAATTTTGCCCATGCCGCCGCTGCCAGATTCTAAATTTTCAAAAATTCATTTAGCATTTTACAATCTGTCAATACAATCTGTAAACAACGCTTTTGTTCTAATCAAATCTATACTCGTAGCATAATAAATTAACCAATAAAGTATTCTAAAAATTCACAATCCACCAGCGGCGGCATAAACCAACGCGCGCCGGATTCAAGTTCGCTGGTGCTGGACAGTTGAAGCGGTTCATGGGCACATCTAGCGCGCAAAATAACAAAAATTCCAGAGAACCTGAAGTACTGCACTATAATAGACAATAGTATGCCTGTAATACTGTATGCCTGTACCGTAGTATGCACTGCTATAATATACGCATGGTTCTCTAACGAGCCGAGCTAGAAGGTTCAAATTTTAAACGCTTAGATGCTCACCCAAAATTAAAATATTAATTTCCTTGAAGGGACGCAATTTGTCAAGCAGCGGCATTAAAAGGCCTCGTTCAAAATTTGCGTATTGGTGTCCATGTTTATGCTCGTTACACTTGAAGGTGTACGTTTCCACGGGTGCTCCTCCACATGAGCAATAAACAAATTTGTCATCCAGTCCGTATTCCAGGAGTTCTTTGCAAGTTACACACAGCCACTTTTTATCTTGGGCACTGCACTGTCCTCCGGGTTGCGATCCTGGACAGCGAACTTCCAGGTCGCATCTTTTAATCGGCTTCTCTTTCCATTCAATAAGACTTGACGTAGCAACATTCAGCGATGCATCTCTCTCGATATCTCCGATCAAGTCATTTGTGATCAGTTTGCCGTTGCGATAATGCGATATAGTAATTTTGTTGGTTTTAGGAGGACCTGTCCTAACAAGATCTTGGTCAATGAACACGAACATTTGGTGGCCTCCGTTAGGTGACGATATTTTTCGAGCATCGCTCAACATTCCCAGGAACATCCCCAAGATTCGGTGCCATTTCTCATGATCTTCTTCTCTGGCAGATTTATAAAAGCTAAGAAAATATATTTCTGATGTTGCGTGTTTAACAATATACTTGTCAACACCTTCGCATTTATCCATGTAGGTGATGCCCTTTGCGATAAGTTCCTTGGCCATGCTAACGGTTTCGAAAACCTTCCCATATTCAGCACAGAACGCTTCTGTTTCAGTCTTAGAGAATTCAGATAATGCGAACTCAGAGTGCATTTTCTCCAGTATGCTGGCATCCGAAATGCCGGAGCGAACCGCAATTAGGTTACGTGCTCAACTTGCCTTGAATTTCGATTCCGCTATGTCAAGTTCTTTTTGTTTTGTCATGACCTTTTCAGCGTGTTCTGCCGACAGACAAAACTGATTCTCAACCAAGTCGCGATGTAGATCATTAAGGATTTGTCTCGAGTAGGCAATCTCGTCGAAGACATGTACGTGCTTCTGTATGATGTCGTCATCCAATCTGTGAAGTTCCACGTCCGCTGTTGCTTTAAGTTTAAAGTAATGCCTAATCAGAGACAGTGGTAGCATTGTGTAGATTATCGGTTTTCCTCTACCACTGTTCACGGACGCAACGAGAGATTTCACTTTCTTCATCAGTTGCTGGGCGTCCTCGATAGTCTGCGGAAGATCGCCATCCGGTAGAATGTCTCCGTAAAACTGTAAAAGCAAAATTTTGTTTAGTTATGAATAACGTCTCTTATGGTGGAACTTCAACTTTCTACAACAAGCGAATCACCTTCATTCACTACATGTTTCGAACACTAATCAAACTTTCCCTGCCATCGTTACGACGGTGTGAGATATTCTACGGCTACTCACTGCATTGAGTGCATTCTGCTTGTATCTGTACTGCTCATCACCATTACGCTATAGACATGACTCATGGTGCGGTGTGCTACCTGATGCGCCCGTCCATTGCGCTACTTATTATGCGTGCTCTTTGATTAGACGCTACCGACTGACCTAGCGGTTCGCATCCGCTATCGCATTCACCGTATGTCTAGCGAGCTTTTGCTTATGATCTTGGCCCATTACTTCTCCAGCTTCTCTGTTTGTCAGCTTGCTTGTCAACAGATTGTTTCACCAGCTTTTCACCAGCTTATGTGTTTGTGTTGCTTCGTTGTTTGTTCAGTCTCATTGCGAATAAAGGCTTATTCACAACATTCACAACTACCTTTTTGCTCTCCCACTGGCTACCACATTTCACAACGGTCACACACTTCACATCATCAACAGGATGTTATTTACATAATTTACTTATTTTAAACTGAACTGTTAATTACAGATAGTAATGTCAATTACATTAAGTTTCACGCAAAAGAACTCACACTCAGCAGAGTGCGACTTATGTTTTGTGTTTTTGTATGACCTGTGTTTCCCGGTGTTCAAATTTTTGGATCACCTTTTCATATACCAGCCAGTTTACTCGTACACAGCAGCGGAGCAGTCCAGATGCCCATATCATGTATAAATTGGTTACCCCTCCGTTAAGACATATAATTTATTTATTAAGGCAACACGAAAAATGAAATTTTAGAAGGTTCAATGAAGAACTACAGAAACGAAAATTATGAAGCTTGCGTCACATAATCACATTTGGCACCCTTATCATGGTCATTTGTAAAATTGTTTTTTATTTCTTCTCTTCTCACCTTCCAAGCGTTTTCAGCAGTGGCTTATGATAACAGATGCTTGCAGTGTCCTTGCTATTTCAATGTTGTCAAAACGTTTTGCAAAGCTTACAAATAGAAGGACTGATTATTTTCTGCTCGAGATACTCTTATTTTTTAGCTTTCTTTCTAGGAAGTTTTCCTAGATAAAGCGTGTACCGTTGGCCCACTACAGCACTCTGTAGACATAAGTTAATTTTAATCGGATGTAAAAACCACTGTCTCTTTCTTTAATCTTTTGCATTTTTTTCGTTTGTATACCTTTTTGTTTCCTGGTCCTCACATTTGGTCCCCAATATTTTGCATATTAATATTCTTCCAATAGCATAAAAATTGGCCCTCTTAGTTATTGATTAACGTTTCAAGAGAATAAAATTCCAAAGATGATGACATATTTTGCTTCACAAAATATGGATTTCGCATTTCCGGTCTGTGCAGACCGGCGATCACTTCGATGACCACTATACTTAAGATCGGTATTGCCTACAGCATTTTATGGGCTTTTTGTGATATCTATTGCATTGTCTATGACGCTTCTGCCAATTAATATAAATTTTCAAAGATTCCTGTAATTTTTGAGATAATTACCTATACTTTTATGACATGGAGGTGACTGACAAGACAAGAAGGACCTCAAAGACCCCGGTTTAGTCAGTTTTGATCCTGTTTGGTCACTCGCCGGACCTTACGGCCATGGTGGAGCTAACTGTTATCAATTTTAAACTGTCGCTTAACATCGTTTTTTTAAATAAAACTTTTAAAAACAACCATAATAACTACGACCATAATAACGGACTACAGAGAAGAAGTCATCAACCATGTCGGCCTAACACGCATGGTGTGGAACTGGAATGGTGTGGAACTGAAGTAGTTTTTTTATAATTTAACTTTTAAATGCCAAATTTATAAAAAACTTTTCTCTCGGTTCACAATTTCCTACGGCAGACAATGTACCTTTACTCCATGCACTACCTTTGCGCGCTCTACACCTCGAGTAATACTCGTACCATTGACTCCGTTCACTACATTTTGACGAGATCTTCTAAGCTTTTCTAGATCTTTATAGAACTCAAAATATTATACTGTAGCGGCTCGATCAAGTGGCACCAGAGTTTGTGTACGGGAATCAGCTCTCTGCAAAGTGTGCACTGCTCGTGCTAGCGCATGAGCATGCACACGCTGCATGTGTGCTGTTTTCCCGTACACGAACTCTGTGGTGCCGCCACTTGATCGAGCCGCTACAGTACAACAGGCTCACCCAAAGTGACTGCTCCAATTTTGTAATTCCTCCACAGGCGCATTCAGGTACATATTCCTACAGATACTTTTACTAACATCATCCATCATTTATTCAAACTAAATTGTTATTAGGCTAACTGCAATCTGGCTGCAAAACATTTGGCAGAAACGGTTGGAGGTGTTTGACACACTATCCTGCGGTTTTGTCGCACCCTTTTGGTTTTGTGGATTTTCATCTGATACAGCCGGGCCAAAAGCTCCCAGGGTTTCAGATTCTACTTACTAGTGGATAGAAAAGGCTCTGTTTTTCAAAAAGAATACTAACTTTGCCTTTTCAGTGAAAGGTCTTTCACCACAGAGAATATACAGACTTAAATTTTAACTATCATGTAGTACGCCCGCCCTTGCAGCTCTTGTTGCTTTGGGGCGTATTGCCTATAAAAATGAAAAGATTTGAATACAAGTATACCGAATGATGCACCATCAAAGTAAACGGACACCGAACCATCGAACAGATCTGGAATCGTATAATACTGTGTGTACTCTATACCAATCTTTTCATAGCTCATCACTCAGAGGTCACTGGTCGCAGCACTAGAGCCAACCGCATGCCGCCCCCAGTGCCCCACTATTTGGCTTGCATCCGCAACCAACCAACAAAATTTGATGCGAATCTACGTAGGTTACGTTCATAGTAGCAATATTTTAGCCCATGAAGTGCTCACCTTAATAGAAACGTTTCTGTTCTCAGAATTTGTGATTTCTTTGGATACACCCAATCCAGCTCCAGAAAACGATGCCGAAATAATTTCCATTTCGGCTTTCAGACATCCTTCAATTTCTTTGACATTTTTCTTGTCATTGTTGACAGCTTCTGCCGATACACAAAAATTTGCTCCCCATTCGATTCCGATAATGACATGCGTGGCACTATTATTATCCATGATCGCTTCTAACAAGAGAACGTCTGCTAGATCTTTATGAAGCACATTCAGTTGCTCCTTGACTGTTTTTATGTTGTAGTACAGCGTTCTGTCTTCACGGACCGGGCACTACATTTTTTGTCAGTCAGATATTTTCCTGACCCTTCGATCGGAAGCAGACCAACCAAAACGCTAACCTTTAACTCTGCTTTGACCTCGAGATTGCTGAATTTGTCTTCAAAACTGTCGGTAACAGTGAAATTGTAGTGGCTGAAATGGTTGTCTCTCATAGTCAAACTGGCTGTCGGCACACTGCCTTTCAGTATACTCAGACCGGTAAAGCTGTCGGCACGAGCATCGTAAAGGTCACCAATCTTTGCAATTCTGCCAAGAGCTGCTCGCTCTACAGTGGAGTCCTGCAACATAAATCTGCAACTAGTTACCGGCAGTAATACCAGATAAGTTTTTTGTCAGCATGTTAGTACTTTTGGTAAAAAAGAAAGAGTGCGGCATACAGAGTAGATGCTTTACTGTGCTTGGTATCATCAGCAGTTTTAGAAACAGTTAGACAACTTGGAAAGGAATTATTTCAAAACTAGCGGCTGCAGCAAAAATTCGTAAGGAGAAAATTAACCGGTTCGCTTATAGTAGTAATACTGTATTAGTCGGTGGAATAAATGATAGCGCCACGACAAAGTTATGCACCAAATGAAAGGTACAAGTAGCGCAAAAGGATGGAACGGAGTGTTGGACCAGTAGCTTTTGTGCCCACCGTAGTGACATCTAGCGACAGTCCCGCTTCCGGTGTTCTGAGTTGCACCCGGCACTCAGTCACTCAGCGCAAGCTGAATCGGCCTCGACTCTGACAACGCCTGTGTTTTCGGCCAACCAGCGTTTCGCATCGCGCGTGTTGGATCCGCCCAGTACCGCAGACAGGCATCTTCTCTGTTTGGCTCGAATGGCCGCTCATTCTCAATGATTTTACATTCGCACTGGCCACTTCACGTCATATGTATGAGTGTTTTTTTCCCTGTTGCTTTATTGCATTTACATTAAAGTCTCTCCCTCACAGTTGTGAGCAGTTTTTGCAATAAGGCTGTATTCTGGCTTCGCGCTTTGTGCACCTGTTGACCTTATAGTCGAATTTTCAAATATTAAATTACCAATAGCCGCAAGGCGCGTGCCTCCCCTTTCATGCATTTACATACAGTAAATCAGAATAATTTTATTATTTCTTTTGAAATTTTTAGCAAAGTTTGCGGTAAAATCGTTCCATGGCTTCGCGCGAGAATTCCCGTTTATTGTGACTTGTATCGCGTACTTTGGATGACAAAATTCAAAATGCTATTAATAAAAACCATTGTGATGAGTAACAAGACGTGATGTTTTCGAAGGTTGTCGAACTTGAAAGGAATGTACGAGTGTTTAAGCGAAACACAGCATGACTCAAGATTACTGTACCGCGACGTGCTAGACGTTCCGACTGCCCTTGAAATCGGTTACGTATTCTGGCTGCCGACTGAAGGGATTTAGCCCGGTACATAGCACCAATTACGCGTACATCCGCGGGAACTTTCTGTGTCGCGCACTTCCAAACACATTTTGCATTGCTTTAGGATCCGTTTTCGCGCGCTACATCCGGTTGCGGGGTTATCAGGGAAACAAAAATCAAAAAGTTCGAATGCATTCAGATGTACCAAAAATCTCATTAGGACCAATCCAATGCTCTCGCAAGTTTTTCGAATTTCCGCGAAACAACAGCGAAAGATCCCGTGGATGTACACGTATTTCGTGAAAGATACCGGGCCAGATCCCTGAATGAAACACATCTTGTGCGTATCATTTTCATTTTGCCGGGAGCCAAAATGTGTTACCATTTTTCAAGGGGAGCCGGAACGTCTAACATATCGAAGTACTGAAGAAAGTATCTGTATTTGTAAAACATCCTTCCTCTGAATGTGAGAATGATGATTTCAAAATTTTCTTAGGTTTACTATAGTGGTCATAATTTTACCTGCAGGTCTTTAGGTTGAATCCGCGGTGTTGCCGAACTGTAATAAAAGTAGCTGTTTCTGCATTGACGTAAATTCTAACGACCCACAGGTAATGCTGATAGTTAAGTTGAATCAGGATTTTGTATATATACAAACACACACACACACATATATATATATATATATATATATATATATATATATATATATATATATATATATATATATATATATATATAAATAAGGAGCATTGTTTATATAAAGATAATTGCCATTGCTTATTATGAGCAATATAAGAAGCTGTATAGTATAGTGTATACTACCAAAGTGAGCTCAATATCCAAATTTTCTCTCCGAATGGTTAATCAGTCGTAAGCTCGTGTTGTTTAATTTTGTACCGACCAGACGTTGAAGTCTCGTTAATCGGGTTGTCTGCTCTTGATGTAATAATAATAATAATATAGTACAGGAATAATCGCAGTTTTATAAAATGCTTCGGAAAGTCCATTATCTCTGCATATCTTGCATACTGTACACCTGTCGCATATTTCTAACGTCTACATAATGGCAAAATGCGGTTCATAAGTACATTGCTTACCTCACGCGGCCATCCCTTTTTTCTGTAAAAATTAAACGCTTGGTCAGTTTGAGTGAGCTCTTTGTTGATATGCTGGCTTATTTGTTTGCTTGTTGCTTACTGTAATAACCGCTGTAAGAGTTGGTCTTAGACTTGGTCTTAGACTTCTTCATGATCAAGCAGACTGTTCCGGCACATATAACAGTGACACTTCTGCACAACCGACGATTTGTAGTCGCTCGAGCAGATAAGAAAGTAAACAATATTTATCTATTGACTTCACAAAATCCGCTCACCGTTAACACTGGAGAAAATAATATAACTAATGTGGCCAACGGCACTTTGATATTGTTGTAAGCATTTGCAGTAATCCGTACATGCATTTCTTAATAGTTAATACTCACCATCAGGCCTTTGTGTGCGACAACGCCGACAAGGGCTTGTTTTCACTTCACTACAGTCACGTAAGGCCTTCGAAAAATTTAAGCCCGATATGGCTGCAGGCAATACAGTAGCTTGTTAAATTCCTTCGTGCCAAATAACTAATGGATGCAGTGATCGATCATCATCATTAAGCCAGGCTCAAGCTTAGTGATTAAATTTCATGATGATATGCACTATGCAATACACATAATCTTAAAACTATTAATTATTATATGGCATGTGCCATCGTGAATATCATTCAGTAAGAGAGAATTGTTCCACGAAGTTGTCAGCTGAAAAATTCGTTCAAAAGGTTGCCGTTTACGTACGACTGGTACGAGTTACTTTTAACGTAAGTAGCAATCTTTTGTTCAATAATTATGTCTTTCATCTATGTCATATGATAAACTACGGTTTACCGGCAAATTGTAAATAATTATATCGTAGCCAAAGCCACAGTTTACCGGCAAAGTTACCGTTAAGGTGATATACCTGCTTTATTTCGATTACAGCAAAGTTGCAGTAACTGCATTTTCCTAGATAGAAAAACGGTGCAGCCTGTACTAATTTCTAGTAACACATGACGTATAGCCGTGTACTACCTGCGGCCCGACAAATCGCTGCATTTTGTATTGTGAACCGGGATTCGTTCCCTTGATAAGTAATGAGTACTGACCCATTCTACCGTATGGTTAGTGGTTTTGTATTTTCTTCCGTGTTTCCATCCTTAAAACTTTCTATAAGATTGATTCGGTATACTAAATCTGCTGAGACAAACGGGCGAATGTTTTGTCCGTAGTTGTGCATACTCAACCAATACTGCTGTCCTCTTCTTGAGTTGGCTTTCTGAATGCGGCGTTAAGCCAGTACTCGTTCAGCCCTCGTCACACTAAACAGAAATCACCATTCAACAGACGAATTTCACCTTTGCCACGGTCAGTACACGTTAATTTTTTCCGGCATGTAGTTTGGCTTGTATCGCACCGTATCTTACAGTATCCTCTACCGGCCTACGTATCCGTCATGAACCCTACAAATTTTCAACTTGTTTTAATAATATTATTACCGCATCCCACCGTATGTCTGCAGTATTCTTCATACATCTCAATTCCTAAATGTATTCCACTAAGGAAATTATCCCAATACTTGAAATATGCTCCACGGATACGATAAGGATACGTTGGGATACTGCATTAACTGGTTACCTCCAGTTTTATAAGTACAGCAGACGAGTACACGAACTCACGAAGAGTACTTAGAGGATACTGTGGCTTCTAAGGTGATACGCATAAAAACATCACTTATTACGGCAGTGAACAAAAAGGCAAATAAATTGTGGGAATACATGTGGGATACGTAGAGGATACCATGGGTCATGGGATACCGCTAATACAAGAAAACATGCCTCGAAAACTTTAACGTGTATGAACTATGAACTACTACGAAGTCGCCCATATTTAAATTCTGGAGCTACGAGCACACTGCGAGGCTATAGAACCGGCATTTTCGATGCGAGCGCTGCACTGGCGATTTATGAGCGGATTGCGTCCTTGCTAACTGTTATCGACCTGAGCGGCGCTGAGCCATTTTTCGTGTGTATGTATAGGAATAGGACAAAACAAACATTAACAGAGTCTTCAATTGCAGCGATACGTTATTTGACACCTGATGGAATCGCGCACTACGACTGACGCTATTTCCGCCGTTTGCGAGACACAGTTCTGATTTTAACACCGCAGAGACATTTTTGTTAACTGTTATGTTAATATTACTCCGTTGTTGTGTCGAAATGGATGTTTTGCGCTGACTCGGGCGCGGATGTTGTGGTGCAGCATTCATACAGTTTGCCGTAAATGGGAAAGATTATGGCAATAATCTGTATATTATTGACCTGGTGACGGTGGGCGGAACGCAGTGATCTGTTCGGTTAGGTATATACCTCATAAACATAAACATAAACATAAGGCTTTTTCGCATAAACATAAACATAAACATAAAGCTGCGCCGCATAAACATAAAGCCGTGATACATAACGCATGTACCGCATAAACATAATCCGGATGCTAGGTATAAGTTTGCTTTGATTCAATCGGCTGCAAAAGCAAATCCGGGTGGAACAATGCGGTACATGAAGCACCGTTTCTGGTCTATCCAATTTGGTTCTACATTAATGCGGTCGCGTGTCTGAATGATGAAAACAATTTTCACCTGTAATATCTGAAATTTGAGATTTTCAACTGGGTAATTTTTAATTTGATTTGCCATGACGTCCGACAGCGAAGTGGGATCGGATAGTGAATCTCCACCGTCAAAGCGAAAACGGTACAGCAAAAGATTTTCGTCTATTCTTTTTTGAGAGTGTGTAGCTGTTTGCAACGTATTAATTTTGTATTCATTAGAACAAGCAGTGGCTCTATGGATGAATCTGCAGTCCACCAAGTTGCTCAAGACGAGGAAATTGTTGTTGACGAAGAAGCCCCTTCTGTTAACGGATCTACGAACGGCGATAGCCATTCGGAAGGCGAGGTAGTTTGGCTGGATCCGGAGCCGCTTATTCTCTATGCCCGGGGTGCCAGAGAGCGCTTAAAGCCGGAAACTGGAGATACGGCTGTCGGAAGAATTTGGAAAACGTAAGTTATCCAGTTGGTGTACCGGTAATGGCATTACGAATTTACATAATGTGATTAGGTATTTAGCTCCAGCATTTTTTATATATTGTTATTGCGATACAGCCAGGGTACTTTGTTATTTTAATATAATTTTATTGCAGCACAGTAACTATCTCATACATTTAAAATAAACTCGAGCTAAACGAAGAGCGGAGTTTATTTTCAAATAAACCTAAATGCTTTTTTTGTTTTAGGAAGTCATATCGGGTGTTCCAAAGGCCGAAGTCTGAAAGACTGGCGGAAACTCATTCTCTGATCTTGAGTGAGCCAAAACTGGACAAGGTCGTGAATAACTCTTTGCCCCAGGAATATCAAGGAAGTGGATTCTTTGCCGTGAAAATTAAAGAAGGAGTGGTCGAAAAGGTGAAAAAGGTTTTGGATTTACTGAAGCGCGACGGAAACCGAACGTGGTCACAGCGAACCCGTACTTGGTGTCAGTTTAAGCGAAAAATCAAACGTTTCATGTCTTTGTGGTCTACTATGATCACAGCTGCGAAGGCTTCCGAAAACTGTCAGTTTTATTGTGGAACGCAATAACTCCAGACGTATGGATTTTACAGTCTGCGACATTGCGGTTGTGCGTTACTATTGGTCGAAAGGAGTGACGCCAAAATCGTATGACCCCAGCATATATCGGGAGGAAAAGCTTGGAGAATATTTCAAAGAAGAACTTATTCGAAGTTTGACCCGAAGTCGCTTGGACCATCGACCGTACCGCGTCATGCGCTGCAAGAAGTAATTGAAGAGACTCCGGCTGAAATAATTCAAATAAATCCATCGTTCCAGATTTCGTCCGTCCGTCAAGTCAAAAATGCAAAGCAAAGCATTAAACGGCAACATTTTGGTCGCGATAAGTTACAGTATATTTTGGACTGTAAAGCGGTAGAGTCACACTTTTACCAGTGTCTGGACGGCGGAAAATCTGAAGCCAGGCTTGTCAAAAGACAAGTTCGTTTTATTTGTCAAAAATATCAGCTGGATTTCTTTGCAAAGTATGCCTTCGGTCAAGGATCGGTATGTGTGGATGTGGATGTTAAATTCAACCTGACTGACGCATATACTGTAGTTCTTACCTGCCCCATGCCAGACCTTATTCACAAGGAACGCCGGACGGCGTTCCGGTTTTTTGAAATGATTGCTATTTCCGAGAAAAAAGACACGCAGGTGTTTGAGGAAGTCGCCTTATGGCTCCATTCGCAAATGATCAAGCGGGAAGTCAAGATCATCCACGAGGACGAGCGTTTTAATCTTAAAATTCAAACTGACGACGAGGTTGCGCTTTATACGCCTTTCATCAAAGTGTTTTCAGTAAGTTGCATATTTGCAGTAAAAAAAATTACGGGAAAAGACTTTAGTCTACAAATAAACTCGTCGCTTGATTTTGATCGAGTTGATGTAAATTAGAAGTTGAGCAGCCGTTAGTTTTGTTGGCTGGGATACATTCACTACTCGGGCAGATTGCTATTTAGCCTATTGTGGTATAGTTATTGCCGGCATCTGTTGCATCTTATCATCTGTTGCAAAACTAATTAGCTAACTGCGACTGCTCCGTTTGAATTTCATTAAGCAGTTAAACAATTTATAGATCTTCTGTAGACTTTTATAAACTGAGCTAGGTTTTTAGGTTGAGTTTATATTAACCTTAGAAGACACAATGCTTAGGTTTATTTGCTGTTTTGCAGGCGGTACACGTTCTGTGTAGCAAACATCTGTCTAGTTCGTTTGAACGTAACATGCAGAAAATGGGAGCTCCAAAAGATTTGGTGCAGGCGTGGCTTGTGAGAATTTCTGGAGATCCAGACAGAGATTCTGGCACTTACGCACGCGGAACTGTAGACGAAAAATCCCTGGATGATATGTTCCGTCATGCACGTGACTTTGAAAGAGCAAACGAAAACGCTAAAGTTTTAGATTGGCTCATAAAATCGAAGAATGGCATCCAAAAGCTACATGCAAAAATGGGACCAGACGCGCGCGTGCGAGCTGGAATTTTTCCAAATTTGCCGCATACGAACGATGTGGAATGAATGAATAACCTTCTTGGCTTAGAAGCAGAAAGGAAAATGGAACAGTGTGAACTGATTGACGAACTGGGCGGTCTGCTTCTTACTCGACTCGAGATCATATGCCGCGGCTTGATGCAGCTGGGTGATTATGAACTGGTCGATCAAGCTCACGCTATAACGGTCGGCGAAAGGACGGATGGCAAGGT